AGATCAACATCTTAACTTCAAAATTTGGACTGCACATGAAATTATTCACATATATAAGAAATTAAATATATTATTTTGAGCCAATAGCTCGAATAATTATATATATTATATTGTATTTAATTTTCAAATAAAATGAACTCACAATAATGATTTATTATCAACTAATATATTTAGCAAATAAATCAAATACGAATTTATTTCATGAATGCAACACTCAACAGAATTAGGACCACACATTTTTTTTTTTCTTTGGCAATTTCAACGTCACCCATGACGAACTTTAACGATCCAAGATCAATATTTAAATTAATATAGGGATTTTGTTAGGACTCGGACCACTTAAGGATGAATATAATATTGAGCGGCAGGACATACCCTCTGGTTGTCACATCTACATTCTGATGCCAAATCCTGCTTTTGAGCCCTGTGTGCTGGCAAATTTTAAATAAAATAATATTGTATGACAATATACTGATTAAATATATTATTCAAGACATCTGTCAGCTCCTAATTGGTTGAAGGATGGAGAGGTCAAAAGGCTTCGATGAGTTACTTTTCGACTAGTCCAGTAATACTGAGTGGGCAAGGGTGAGTGCTGAGATGAAAGGGGGACCAACAGCTGGCAGGTTGGTTGACGTGGCCGGCAACCTGTATGGAAGCTCTGGGACTGCCTGCGAAGAGAGAGACGAGTGAGATACTATCGTAGGAAGGATGAGCTATTGCTTGGATGGTGGTGAGAGTTGAATTGAGAAACCTTCATATGAGTTTGGTAAGATTGGTTGCCAAGTGAGAGTGAGTGATTGTGAAGTGGTTCAAATATAGGATGAGTGCTGTGCAGTTAACTCTGAAGATGAATCCTCAATCTGACATGCATAGGGAGAGCTCCTTAGAAGGCCCAAACAAGCAACAACTATTGGTCCTCCCGTGAGTTTCGTAAGTATGTCCCCTAAAACGACAAGATCCGTTATAATGGCCTATCAGCTACCTACTAAATATCTATAAAGATAGTGTACGAGTATACATAATTTTTTAATTTATTTATGCATTATGTTGATTTGAAAATTAGATTAATGATATTAAAATTTCTTATCACTGTTTTTTAGAATATTCTAATAAAATTTTACCAATTTAAATTGGCCGACAACGGTACGCCAAATTCAGTAATTCTCACAGCAATCAATGTAATGTAATGTAATGCAGGTTAGTCGGTATTCAGATTAGGCACTCGATTTTGTTTCAAATAATTCGCCATTTATGCTCACGCAGTTAGTTTTATTATTATTTTTTAAAACTGAAAGAGAAAATTATTGTTCATGCAGCCTATTTTGTCTTATTGATAGGGAGCCAAAAGTTTATGCTCCCAATCAAAATGTAACGGGCTAGAGGCACATCTACATGCGAATCTATCCAATAATCTAATAATCAAATACATAAATATTCAAAATATTCTTATAAAAAAGAATCCCAACAAAAAAATTCCCAATTTTTTTTTGGAATATTTAGGTTAATTAAGTCAAATTTATACATAGGGCTGCAGCCTGCAAGTGAACCAAACGTTCGACAAGCTACTCGTTGTTCGGTTCGATTAAAGCTCGTTTGAGATTGTTTAATTAATTAAACAAACAAACTTGAACAATATTTTAAATACTCGATTCTTAAATAAACAGACTTGAACACTAATGCTTTCGGCTCATTTATGTTCGCGAACAATATCATTTGAAGTTCGTGAACAAGCTCGAAATTAAGCTCGATAAGAAGCTCGATTAAAACTCGATTCGTGTTCGATTTTGAACTCGTGAATATGCTCAATGAAAATAATTAATATTTGACTATAGAATTAATAAATATAAATAATAAATACCTTTGTTATATAGACAATTGCTTTTATTATAAATGTGTTTGTTCATAGATATGTTCATGAACGTGTTTGTTTGATAGTTAAAAAAATTAGTTAAATATGTTCGCGAACAAGCTCGATAAACACTAAACGAATGAACATGAACTGCACATGAACACTCTTTAATTTAAATGAACCAAACATGAACACAAATGCTAAAGCTCGAACAAACATGAACTAAACATGAACAAGCTGATATTAAATGAACACAAACATGAACACTCACATACTCGGCTCGGCTCGGTTCGTTTGCAGCCCTATTTATACACACATAACATATGAGATATGGTTGTCAATTTAGGGTCACGGATTGGGTTTGGGTTGAACTCGGAATTGATCTGGGTTCAAATGAGTCAACCTTAACCCGACCCGGGTATATAAACGGGTCAGAAATGTAGACTAGGACCCGACCCGTCTGGTTGCCAGGTTGACTTGACCCGACACGGGATGACAAATCGCGCGGACACGGGTAGGCGCGTCGTGTGCGAACACGGGTACACGCAGGCGATCTCGGGTGCGTGGGGGCAATTGCGAGTGCGTCCGAGCAGGTGTACGGGCGCTCTGGCAAGCGCTGTCGCACGGGCAGATGGGTGGGCATGGCGCGGGCAGCCGGGGCAGGTTCGCGGGCAGGCGGGGCAGTGCGGGTAGTTGATTTTAAATGGGTTCACGGATTGATCCGGTAACCTGTCGGGTCAACTCGAACCCGACCCGTTTTTCAAACTGGTCGAATTCTGGAACCCGAACCTGACTCGTTCTGAAATCGGGTCGTGTAAAACCAGAAATTTTCGGGTCGGGTTGAGTCAGATTTTCGTGTCGTGTCAAATATTGACACCCCTAATATGAGACTTGACTTCAAAATCTTAGAGGCGAAATCAGCCTTAATTATGAGGGAGGCAAGTGACAAACTTATATATATATATATATATCGCTTTTGACAAACTTGTTTGTTAGTGTTAGAAAAGTTCAATATAATAGGATAAAAATAACAGGAGGCCAAGAGGCTTTTCAGATTTTGGAAGGGCAAATTGCGGGAAAAATCAGGTTGGCTAGGGGCAAAAAATAAAATTAGAGGGGTAGGGGGGCATATTGCAAAAAACCTTTACTATACTAAAAGTTTTAAATTTGTTAAGAGGGGCAATTGCAATACACAGCTCCGACTTTCTTCAAAACTTCTTAATTGATAGTCAAAATTCTTAACGAGCATATCAAAATGAACCGCCTAATTCTCACAACTCAATGAATCATATTATGTGATCAAACAACGAATATATTCTGTTTCCTATATCATGAAAAGGTTGCTTTCCGTCACCTACTTTCCACGCCAGCCGAGCATTTCATCGAACGCCTTGTTGCTCTCCACCAAACTAAATGAGCTCCACTACAATTCAAACATTGTGGTCACCACCAAGACGTTGCTTTTAACCTGATTCAATGAATATCAACTTGTTTACTTTTCCAAAAAAATTTGAAATCTAATTCATCTTATATTAAAATTGGAAAAGAACAAAATCTTATCATGGTGGCAACTCACTATGTTTGATGGGAGAAAGGTTTCGGCTTTGTTCGGGATGGTTTTGTTATTGCTTATAAAGTAATTTTTAAGTATAAATATTTCTTGAACTAAAAAAATTTATACTAAAAACTGCTTTTAAAAGCATTAAAAAAGCTGCCTCAAACAAAATTTCGTTTGGAACAATTTTTTTTTACTTCTTTGCTTTTTAGACCGCAATTATAATTTCTACCAATATTTTTTTTTATTTAAAAAAAAAAATTTACACTAGAAAACTGTTTTTTACAATAACTTTAAAAATTTATTTTCTCAACAGTAATTTTACAAAACAGTAAAAAAATTATCATAAAAGAAGCATAAGTAACTATCTTAGCATTATTTTGAGTTTTCCAGCTCAAAGACAAAAAAATTTACTAATCACTATTTTAATGTTCTATTATTCTCTGCAAGAGCTAAGCTTAAAAATAAATAAATAAAATAATTCGAGGAATATATTCGAGGGCAAATCATTGAGACAGGACATTCCCTCTAAAATAAATGCAATAGTCTCCCAAACAATAGTCAATTAAGTAATTTTTTCTAGAGATCTATGCATTCATATTCAGAGAATATTCCTGCAAGGATACTAAGCAAAGAGCTGTTAAATAGCTTTTCAAATTTGCTTATCCAAGCCAATCAGCACTAAAATGATATATTCTCCATAAAACATAGATGAACCTAGAGATTGACATTGGGCCAAACCATTGTCAAGACCAAATGTGACATAATCGTCACAAGATATAGGATCTTCGCCTAATCCTCAAGACGGGAGAAGAAGGTGAAAAACTTAGCAAAGCGGAGGATTCATATTAACGAGAGAATAGCATCGCAAGCTCCAACCGACAAAGTGAATCACAAAACAAGACCAACAAGACGCGATTGGTGGGTCACGAGCAACAAGCTAATAAGTTGCAAGCATGATTGCAAGCAAGCGAATCACAAGAACATGTTGTCAAGAGAATCATGGAGCAACAAAATCCTGGATGACTGAATCTACACATTATCTTGTCATAGGATCCCCACGGGATCTTAGTTTCTTCACGAGATCTTCATACAACAATAATATCAAACCTTTATCTCATTATATCGGGTCGGCTATATGAATCATTTTCTTCATCACATCTTGTATCCAACATGCAAAATTTTTATGAAGAGTAAAAAAGAAAAAAAAAATTAAGGAGATAACTCTTAATAACCATGATAGAAATATAAAATTTTTAGCTTAATAATTCAAATACCAGTGCAAACATTACTACATAAATGCTAAATAATAGAAAAAAAAAGAAAGTATAATCAATAATAATATCCTGCATAATAAGGCGAATAATTTGTTTGTCTTCTATTATTTAGCATTGATTATACTTTCTTTTTTTTACCAAATTCTTATAAAATATCAAATATATTAATATCATACCATAATAAGGCGAATAATTTGTTTCTCTTCTAAACGCCAAAGCCTCAGCCACGAACACGGAACGCCATGCATTAATCTATTCCGCGTGATGGGCCCCCTTTCTTCTCACACGACATTATAAGACCTTCCTCCTCCTCCGGTTCTCTGCTTTCTCCAACCCCCCTTCTCTCTCATCTTTCTTCTGGAGAAGCATTGCACTGAAGAGAGAGAGAGAGAGAGAGAGAGCGAGAGAACTAGAGCTTTTCTCCATTTGATCTCTATGCGCTGAAGAGGTTAACAAAAAAGGAAACAAAGAGAACAAAGGGAACGGTTGTTAGTGCTGTTTTGCACACTTGCCCAGTTAAAAATGTTCGATTTAGCAAGTAAGCTTTCCATTTCACTTATATTATATAAGTTTAATAGACAAGTCTAAGAGTAATTCAATAGAAAAAAGATTCATTTTTGCTTTTGTTTATTTGCACTAACCAAGTAACCACATATATTCTTAATATTTTAAGCTAAGAATCATGAGGAAATGCTTTTCTTCGTTGTCAGTATTGTATAACCTTCCCGTATATAGTGATTTTGCAGTTGTAGAAACAGAGGAAGCACCAGCAGTAAATTCGGTTTTGAGTCTAGTTTTCTGGAAGGATTCTAAATTAAGGAAATTTCTGGCCTAAAGAAATCTCTGTTCAGTTAAGAAGAAGAAAGTGATGTAAACATATAGGACAATATTGTTTCAACTTTCCTGGCCATTTAATATCCTCGAGCTGCTTCCCTCGATCCAAAGGAACTTGATGTGACAAAGTCAAGTTATTCTGTGACCTTTTACTTTATCAAGTAGTTAGACAAAGTTCTTCCATTGAGCTTTGTTTTCCTCCATAGAGAAATTTCTGAGGCATGATCCATGAAAGAGCAAATGAAGCACATAAGCACAGAAGAAGCATGTGATGGCGATTTACAGTTTACCTCCATTATCTGAGTGTTCAACTGTACGAATCAAGATAGTCTAGGTTTCAGGTTCAAAACTTGGCTTTTGAACTTCTATTAAGTGCATTAATGAACTTAGAAATCATTCAATTAAGCCTTTACTTTACACAGCTCGTCTTGGTATGTTTATTGGGAGCTTAAGCTACCAACTAAGAGGTCATGAGTTCTAGACTTGTGTATGCGTTATGTGTGTGAGTATATCTTAATCGGCCTAAATGTCCCCCCCCCACCAAAAGAAGAAGAAGTTAAGTTTCAATCTTCAAACGTCAAAAGAGCAGTACTAAAAAAGAAAACTATCAGAAAATATGAATATTCACGAAAATAACAAGGAAAAGCAGAAACCAAAAAAGAAAAATAAATAAAATAAATAAAAGAAAAAACGTAATTTATGTAATAGTTTTAATATTTTTCCCATATAGATTGTACTCAGCAATGGAGACTAAAAAATACAGATCAATAATGAACTTCTATATCCAAAAGACAAAAATTACAGAGCAATGTATGCATAAGACAATCCATTGAACAACTGGACATTTTGGTTAAAATGTTTTAAAAACCTATAAATAGAATAAGAATATCGTAAGAAAAGCCGGTAATGTTTTATTTTTTATGTGGTTAGCCATAGCTGTGTAAGTTACACTGCTTCAATGGACCTTATAGATGCAATTTCAATTAAAATATAAGCAAGATAGATACAAAAACGAGAATAAATACAAAAGGCAGAAACAAAAGTAGCTGGACAGATAACTTGCATGATAGACCGGTCCAGTTGACAAAACGAAAGCATAAATACAATTTTAAAGAAAATTGAGCCACTGATGGATTTCAGGGATATGGGTAAGTAAAACTAGTCTGAATGACACAACAAGATTAACACTGATGTGAATCGTTTGTACTTTGCAGTAATATCTAAAAGAAAATGTAACTGGAGGCTGTGGTGATAATTTTTAAATGAGTAAAAGTGTCTTCAGGAAACAATAAATTATATTGAGAGAGATGCAAGTTTGAGTGTTTTGGGGGCAAACAAATCGAAACAAACAAGATAAAAAACAACGGAAAAAGAGCACCAGAATTTTCATGGAAAACTCAAAAACAGAAAAATCATAAAGGCACACCACGCTAAGAAATTCACTATAAAAAATGGGGTGAAATTGTACAAATCTTTAACTCTACTACTACTACTGCCTCTCTCTCTCTCTCAGCCTTCACACTCTCTTACACTAGAGCATGACCCCCCATACGGTTACAACCCACAACACGGAAAAAAAGCACGAAAAACATAAATAAAAATTGACTCAGTGGGTCCACAATACCTTCGTGCTGTACCAAAGAAAGAGAATCAAGTCAACATTACAACTTGATAGATCAAAACAATCAGATTCCACAAAAAACTAGCAAAGGTCAGAGTTTGACTATAAATTAATCTTTATAGTTGTATAAATTCATTCCTGCAAAAAATAGATTATCGGTAACCTACACATAACTAGAAATGATGCACCTTATGACACTCAAAGCAATACTGAATACAATGGCAAGCATTGCTTGAATTCGATGCATGTAGGAAACTCCTGCAAGGCGTGCAACGGCTTGCGATCATGAAAATTCTAAAAGAGGTTAAGCTGGTCAATAGTTTTTTTTATAAATTTAATTGCAACCCAATATCTAGACCTGCTACCCATCAGAAATTGCTACAGGTCCTTTAAAGCAAATGAAAACATGCTTGATTTACATTGAGCATGGCCATTAGTGCAGCACGAAGATACAAAACAGCTTAGCCCTCATAAATTAGTTGTGATGAAAGGAAATATCCAAATATTCCTTACTGATTGCAGTAAGCTTAATATATGAATTCAGTAGTAACTTGCACTTTAAACTGTGGCTTTGGTTCCAAACTTATGTATGCATGTTTTTGTTAATAACTAAGTCCTCTTAAAGTCTATATAAAGAGGTGTTTTTCATGCTCTACAGGATTCCAACTAATTTCACACTGGAAAGAATGGTTGCAGACGAGTTCCCCATGCTTTTGGAACGGCATTTTTATACTCCTTGATCTCTTGTTCCTCATTGTTTTTTCAGCTCAGTTCATATTTAAAATAATTCTTAAACATAACGCAAGAAAATCAAAAAACCTGGAGGAAGAACCAAAAAGCTTAGTAGGAAAAGCTATTCCTGGAAGCATAAGAGTGGGAAAATCATATCAAACCAGCAAATGGTGTTGCTCATTGATTCTGGTTTGTCAAATTCTGGAGCTCATATTGTTGTCATCAAAAGGGTCTGAAGTTCAATGTGAACTCTCAGTATTAGTTTTGTCTGAAATAATGAAGGCGCTATCATGCATCGTTATGCTAGTAGCCATTTTCAGTTTTCGGATAAAAGCTACCATCAAAATCCCATGGACAATTAGATTATTGTGCTCAAGCATCTTCCTCCAGTCCGCAACCAGCTTAGTTTTCAAACTCCAGTTTATCCTTTCACGCAAGCTGAACATCGGAGCAGAAGAAATTTTAAATATGATATCTCTTGTTTTCTGCATGAGCCTAACAGCAATAACAATCAGGGGGCAAACAGGGATCAGCTTAACCTCAAGTAGTGTAACAGAACCGCTGCTGAATGGTTCGGTGGAAAAGCAAACTGAAACGAAAAGAGAATGCCCATATGGGAGAGCAAGTCTTTCTGAACTCGTTACTTTCTCCTGGCTCAACCCATTATTTTCCATTGGAATCAGGAAACCACTGGAACAGCATGAAGTGCCTGATATTGATGTAAAAGACTCTGCGGAGTTCCTATCACATTCTTTTGATAAATGTCTCGAAGAAGTGAAAGAGAAGTATGGATGGACGAACTCATCTGTTTACAGGGCGATGTTCTTATTAATCCGAAAGAAGGCTGTAATCAATGCATCTTTTGCAATCGTAAGCGCTGCTGCTTCCTATGTTGGACCTTCATTGATAAATGATTTTGTAAGTTTCTTAGGAGGGAAGCGGAATCACAGACTACAGAATGGATACATTCTTGCACTGGCATTTCTTAGTGCCAAGTTTGTGGAGACTGTGACTCAAAGACAATGGATTTTTGGAGCTCGACAGCTTGGTCTGCGTCTGAGGGCAGCTTTGATTTCTCACATTTATCAAAAAGGAATTCATCTATCAAATCAATCTCGACAGAGTCATACTAGTGGGGAGATTATCAACTATATGAGTGTTGACATCCAAAGAATCACAGATATTATGTGGTATGCAAACGTTATATGGATGCTTCCCATTCAGATCTTGCTAGCAATTAATGTGCTTCATAAAAATCTGGGCCTTGGGGCCTTCGCTGGATTAGCAGCTACATTCCTTATAATGGCAGTGAATATTCCACTTACACAACGGCAGAAGACATTTCAGTCCAAAATTATGGAAGCCAAAGATGATAGAATGAAATCAACCGCAGAGGTTCTCAGGAACATGAAGATTCTCAAGCTTCAAGCATGGGACACGCAGTACCTTCTCAAACTAGAAAACTTGCGTAAAATTGAATGTGACTGGCTGTGGAAATCTCTTAGACTTCAAGCAACTTCTGCTTTTATTTTCTGGGGTGCACCAACATTCATCTCAGGAATCACTTTCGGGGCATGCATAATGATGGGAATCCCTCTAACAGCGGGGAGAGTTTTGTCTGCATTGGCAACATTCCGAATGCTACAAGATCCCATTTTCAACCTTCCTGATGTGCTTTCAGCATTAGCCCAGGCAAAAGTTTCTGCTGACAGGATAGCTTCCTACCTAAAGGAAGATGAAATAAAATCTTATGCAGTAGAAGTCATTCCCAAAAATGAAACAGAGCTTGACGTTGAAATAGAAGAAGGGATGTTCAGCTGGAACTTGGAATCTGAATCTCCAACGCTTCAAAATATACAGTTGAGAGTAAGAAGAGGGATGAAAGTAGCTATATGTGGGTCAGTTGGTTCAGGGAAGTCTAGTCTAATATCATCCATTCTTGGAGAGATACCAAAACTGGGAGGGAGAGTAAAAATAAGTGGCAGCAAAGCATATGTTCCTCAGTCCCCCTGGATATTAACTGGCAATATAAGGGAAAATATTCTATTTGGAAATCCATATGACCATGATAAGTATGAAACAACTATCAAGGCCTGTGCTTTAACAAAGGATTTTGAGCTCTTCGCCAGTGGAGATCTAACAGAGATTGGAGAACGAGGAATCAATATGAGTGGTGGTCAGAAGCAGCGAATACAAATTGCAAGAGCAGTTTATCAGGATGCTGACATATACCTTCTTGATGATCCTTTCAGTGCTGTGGATGCTCACACAGGAAACCAACTATTTAAGGTTCGTTTCTTGTGACTCACTGGTCAGCTCAAAGAATGTAAACATTCCTCAGATGAACAAAGAGGGCTAACATCATAATTTTTCAAGAATGAGAGTTTTTTTCTCTAGCTAAGAGTTTTATTTTTGTTTTTAATGATCGTAATGCAGGAATGCCTTATGGGGATTCTAAAAGACAAGACTATTTTCTATGTTACCCACCAAGTGGAGTTTCTTCCAACAGCAGACCTTATCCTGGTTAGTGAGAAATAAATGATGAGTAGAAAATTTTCAGATTAGAAACTTGGCCTAACATGAAGGTTTGATTTAGTGAAAACTTGATGTTAAGTGTTTGCATGTGAAGTAATTTTCTTGTATTTGATTTGCAACATCTTCACAATCAGCTGAGAAGTAAATGCAGCCCAATTTTCCTGCATTTATTTAACAGGTGTTTGTTTTTCATGTATTTCATTTCCAGCCAATTAATCTTCCCTTTAAGTTTAATACAAATGGACTACTAAACTATTACATGGTGAACAACTGTATTACCAATTTAAGCTATGTCCCAAGTAGTGGTTTTAACTTCCAACTGTAGAGCAACTAAGACTAAAGCTAATGAAACATATAATATCAATCAATAGGTGATGCACAATGGAAGGACAGCACAGGCTGGAAGTTTTGATGAGCTTTTGGGCCAAAAGACAGGATTTGAGGTTTTAGTAGGGGCTCATAACCAAGCTCTTCAGTCAATCTTCAATGCAGAAAACTCAAGCAGAAGTTTTCAAACTGAAGATGGTAGTACAGAAAGAAACTCAACAACTGGTGAATGTGATTTAGAAAATTCTGAAGACACTCAGCTGCAAAGTATTGAAAAGCAAGAGTCTGCTCAGGATATTTCTCAAGATGTTGCTGAACGAGGAAGATTGACACAAGAAGAGGAAAGAGAGAAAGGAAGTATTGGTAAAGAGGTTTATTGGTCATACCTGACTGCTGTGAGACGTGGGGCTTTAATTCCAGTCGTAATCACAGCACAATCACTCTTCCAGATACTACAAGTGGCAAGTAACTACTGGATGGCATGGGCTTCCCCTCCAACAACAGATGAGCCGGAAAAAATAGGAACAAGTTTACTTTTCACAGTATATATAATTATGTCACTTGGAAGCGCAATTTGTGTGCTGGTACGGGCAATGTTAGTAGCAATAGTTGGTCTTTTGACATCACAAAAGCTTTTCAAAGGAATGCTTCACTCTCTGCTTCGTGCACCAATGTCCTTTTTCGATTCAACACCAACAGGACGAATCTTAAACAGGGTTAGTATTTAAATACTTGTCTGATTACACATTCCATTCAAAATGACATTGAACTATTGAATGAGTAGTTTAAAATGATTATAACCTGCATGACTTCAAAATAGGCCTCAACAGACCAAAGTGTGCTAGACTTGGAGATAGCAGGAAGATTAGGATGGTGTGCCTTTTCAGTAATACAGATCCTTGGGACCATAGCAGTTATGTCACAAGTTGCATGGCCAGTTTTTGTTCTATTCATCCCAGTGACAGGCATATGCTTCCGGTGTCAGGTAATAAGTAGCAACTTACACTGAAGGGTGTACCTGTCTTCTTCTTCACTGCGCATAAAGTAGCTGCAATTGTAAGCAATGTAAACAAAATGATGCGGGTAACTTCATCAGTAATAATCTTGAAAAAAGAATTTCCTAATTCTGAAGTCCATCCTTAATCTTTCCATTTTGTCAAATAAAACAAAGGTGGAGCAATGCATAAGGCTACTGACTATTGCATTATCAAGAGAAGGCTCCTGGCAATTGCATGATCAAGAGAAGTGTTGATGTGCCAAATCTTTACCCCTACCACAACACAGGCTATTTTTATGATTTAAGGCTTCGTTTGGGACGACTTTCTTACTGCTTCTTAAAGCAGCTTTTCAGTACAAAAATGTTATCAAGAAAAGCTGCTTTAAGAAGCAATAAGAAAGCTGTCTCAAACGAAGCCTAAAACTATGGCCTACATAATAAGGGCAACATAATCAATGCACCCATACGTTTTCCCTTTATATTTTATATTCAGACTGCTTTGTCATTAAAACTTGAGACCTCCATGAGACATTGGTGTGGGCTCCGAAAATTCGGCCTCGGCCTCCCCGCTCGCTTTTCTTATTTCGGCGAGGGAGTTTTAACGAGCTAAGTTCCGAGGTAAATTTTGGAAGGCAGATGAGTTTGTAGATAAGACACTACCCAGAGATTTCGTCCTCATTTTGTGAGGACTTTATAATCTGAGTTCTGGTTTCCTATAGGCGCAAGCCCCTATAGTTAATTACCACTCCCGATCACGAGAGAGAACTTTCGATTAAGGGCTAGTCATCAATCAGATACGTATAGAATACGTATTATCTGGCATATAGTAGCAGCAATAGGCTTAGGATATTGGTAGAAATTGTATTTGAAAATTGAAGAATTTGGTTTGGAAGATTTGAAGATTTGGATTGGGATATTTGGAAAAATTTTATATTTAAAATAGAAATTTCACCATCGTTCACTTAAAGCGGATGGTGGGGGAATGGATGATGGGCCCGATCAAGAATCCCATGGTTCGTCGTCCCGGGCCATCGTGGTCCTGGTCTACTTAGTCAGAGGAGGTAGTCGACCCATGACAGAAGGATCCTTGTCGGCAGCCATGGGTTGCTTCGTCCAAGGGGACCTTGTAACCGAGGTTGAATGTTGTCTAAGGGACAAATTTGAATCCACCTTAGCTGACAGAGGGCTTTGTGCCCTATCGATCATATCCTATTGATTCATATCTCAAGGATTTGATGTCAGTAAGAGCGTATTGGCTCTGGCCATGACCGAGATATCGTGTGCCATTTGGCGGCGAAACCACGCGGTTCAGAGGGCCCCGGGTCGTCGTAACCGTTTATCCTGCGGTGGCCATTTAGCGGCAGACCGCCGGTTAGAGGACACGTACCACGTCCTTACTGGCAGGAGATTGTTTGAGAATGGATCCTAGTGATATTTTCGACTAGGCATTTTACTCTTTTGTGAGCTGAAGTAAATTTGAATTTGTCCACCTCGGCAAACTGTTGCGGAAGGTGGATGGATTTTGCTTTGAGCGATTGATGGATTGATTTCAGATTTAAATATCTGGGCTTTGAGATTTGTGGAATTTTGGATTTGGACTTTTGGGAGGCATTTAAAAATGCCTGAAATTAACCCCTCGGTTGAATCTTCTTTCACACGGCATCATCGGGGTGACCTTAAGGTCATTTGAAAAATATTTGAATTTGTAGAAGTTTGAGGGCATTTTGAAAATATTTTTGTGAACCCTCCGTTGAGATCTGCATTCAACACGGCCATCATCGAGGTGTTTGGGGGTCATTTCTATTTTTGGATTGAACCTTGTCGACTCGGCTGAACTGTTGACCGAGGATCGGGTTTTGTAGGCTTTATGCTACGTTGATGAATTTTTCTTGATTTAGGCATTGAGCCTAAAAAGAATGTATTTGAACAAATACACCGGTCGCTACAACCGTGTATTTATTTAAGGTTCGAACCCTGTCGACTCCTATTGATCCGTATAGAAGGATCGGGTTCTTTAGGCTTCATGCCTTTGTTCATGACTTTCTTTGTTGAAGGCCTTAAAGGCCGAATAAGAATGTTGTAGACGCCTTCTGTCTGCTTGTATCAGTGTTGCAGATCCGGTGGCGATGCATTGTAGTTATAGACGCTTCTGTCTGCTTGTATTAGTGTTGCAGATCCGGTGGCGTTGCATCTTGATTTTGACTCCCCCTTTCTCATTCACCGGGGAAAGATCTTCTGGATTTTTGGAGTCAAAGACTACTTGATTTGGAAGAACTCCTTTTAAGCTCTTCGGCGTAGTAGACTTGCTATTTTCGGTGTTTGTGGGCACCTGAATTGCTTTTCTTCTAATGTGTAGAATCAAGAAGAAGCTTTGGAACATCAGGAAGTTTGGTTCTAATTTGTTTCAAACATCTCCTTCTTCTGTAGAGGTGTTCTTCGTACATCGGGCTGCTTTGTACCGGTGTACTTGGAGATTTTGATTACCGTTGCTGTAGGTGATATTCATACTTGTGCCCACAGTGGTTCGTCGTGCCTACGATATATCCACTGTTGTTATCCACAAGCTGTTTGTAGCCATTTGCAGGGGACTGTTATACTCACTACGACCTCCTGAAGGTATTTGTAGGAGACCCATTGACATCAGTATTGTGTCCACCTTTCACCAATCTCAGGTGATCCACCCTTTCACCAATCTCGGGTGGGTTTTGTCGATTGTATTTGTTTGTAAGAAGGCGAGTCTTTGATTGCTGATCTCCAATATTGCCTTCTCAATCAACAGGCGGTTGTAGAAATTGTCTTAGGAGATGTACTTGTGTCCACAGTGGCTCGCTATATTTACGAAACTCTCACTGTTGTTATCCACAAGTGATTTGTAGTTGTTTGCAGGGACCCATTGTATCCACTCGAGCACCTGAACTGTTTCGTAGAACCCATTGTTTCCTACATCATGCTCACCTGTCACCAATCTCAGGTGGGTTTAATGGGTTGCATTTGTTTGTAGAAAGGCAGATTCTCCATCATTTGGTCTTCCGTATCGCCATCTCAATCAACAGGCGTTTGTAGGAACTGTCGTAGAGATGTTTGTACTTGTGCCCAAGTGGCTTGATGTGTTTACGATATGCCCACTGTTGTTACCCACAGGCGACTTGTACGCATTTACGGGAACCCGTTGTAGCTCTGGTAGTAGAGTCGTTGTCAACTTTTCATCTCCACCTTTCACCAATCTCAGGTGTTAGCTTTGACTGGCGTTGAATGTGAGAGGGCGATGATGCTCAAACCAGGCTTAAGTTCAAGCCCTTTCAGGATCAATTTAAATCAGGTTCATGAGCTCAATATGCAAGTTCAGTTCTGTGTCCTTTGTAGTCTGAGTCTTGTTCAATTTTAGTGCCCTTCACACTTAGTTAATTTTAATTTGAGTCTGAGTGTATGTTCAAATGACTGTTCGAATCTTCTGGAATCTTTGCAGGTTCAGTTTATGTTCAAAATGGCTTGCATTTGGCTCCAACTTTGATTTTTGTTTCATTTGAATTTGGTCTTTATTAGTCATTTGAATTTTGTTCAGGTCCTCTGCACGTTTTTCAATGAAGTTCGGCGGTCTACAGATCCGCAGTTCATGTTCATGTTCATTTGAATCCCAATTCTTGCATGTCTTTTGAGTTCAAAATAGGTCCCGAGTAGACTAATATTCATCCGAAATTTCGGCAGCTCCAGGCGTCTCCCCGTTTAGGGGAAAATGACGGAAAACTGGGCCTTTCCCACTACGCTAAAAAGCGTGTATGTAGGTGCCTCTTTCGAGGACACCGCGGCCGTGTAAAGTCTTTGTCCCCACCAGCTAAGAAAAGCGTGTATGGGTCTTCTATCGGTACCTGTTGCAAGAGAAAAAGCAGTTGTTTCCCTGCAAGCGGGTACTTATGGGCATCCCGACTTCGTCGTACGCATCGCACCGGATTCCCTTCCACCACGCTAAGAAAAGCGTGTATAGTGGTTTGCCGGGCGTTACGAACTTCGAAGGAGGATTTGGAACCAAGGATCGCTCGCCTACCTTGTCGTAGGTGTCGCGCCGGTTGCCCCCCACCACGCTAAGAAAAGCGTGTATAGGCAGACCGCGACTCGACACCCAGGACGAGGTAGAGAGAGCAAACAAGGGTCCAGAAGTTATACCTTTGGCGGCTGGCGACTAGTGGACGCGGGTCGAGGGCGGAGAGGCTCGAGCATTGAGGTAGGATGGCGAGGCAATTGTACTTTATAATTAATTATAGTAATAATTAAGTAATTATAATTAGTAATTAATAATTAATTAATAATTAATTACAATTAATAAGATAACTATAATTATAATTATTTAATAATTAATTATAATTAATCAAACTTAACTATAATTAATTAAATAATTATAACTAATAATTAACTATTAATTATTAATTAATCTTAATTAATTAATTAACTATAATAATAATTAAATAATTATTATCAATAATTAATACTTAATTAAAATATTTTTAATCCCTCACCCCTCTTCTCTGTTCACGGGATCCGGCCAAAGAAGCGCATGGAGGGGAGAAAGTTACATTCACGGGCAGTGAGCTCCCGTAGTTGCTTTGGATCGAAATGTCGTAACTTCCGTTCCTAACAGGAAGGGAAAGTCGTATGAGCAAAGTCGGACAGCCAGGGAGTCGGGCACGGTGGAGAGCTTCACAGCTGAGCTCCTGTTCTAGTTCCGATCAAAATGTCGGGATTTCCGATCGCACGGGCTGGGAGAGTCGTCGAAGGAGCTTCGTCGAACAGCCGGGAAGGAGTCGGAGAAACACACGGAAGGGAGAAAGTTATCTTCACAGCCGAGCGAGCTCCCGTTGCAGCTTCCGATCAAACTGTCGTAACTTCCGATTCCGACCGGAAGGGAAAGTTGTCGATCGAGAGAGGGAGGCAGCGGAAGAGGGAAATCGAGAGAGAGAGAGCGTTCGCAGAGGAGAGCCGAACGTGCGTAAGAGCTCGGAGAGGCCGAAGGCCTTGCATCTGCGGCTTTTTAACGACTCCAAGCGAGTCGTGTGGGCGACGTGGGAGAAGTGACGCGAGGCGTGGCTTCGTCGTGCGAAGAGCTGCGACGACGTGCGGGGGCAGAGAGTAGGTGAGCGAATGATTTGATTTTTTTTTTCTTTCTTTTTTTTATATCAGAGGTCAACAATTGGCAATGAATTCACCACTGCAAAGACCTCTCCCAATATTTACACATTTAGCAGAAGTACCTATATGAGTTAGAGAAAGCTCAGCGTACTGGATAAGTCCTTTTTATTTTGAAACTATTTGAATGATTTGATAATGCAGAGATATTAAAGCAATATCTTTATTAGTTATACTCAGCCTGAATTCTCTATAGTTTCATGATTTACGTGCTCACAAGGAATTCGATGGAATTAACATTTAACACTTAGAATCTTTGATCTACAACTATCATTTTCTTACTGCAGCGATATTACATACCAACAGCAAGAGAACTTGCTCGACTGTCAGGAATCCAAAGGGCTCCAATCCTTCATCATTTTGCAGAATCTCTTGCGGGAGCTGCAACTATCAGGGCATTTGGACAAGAAGACCGCTTTACAAATGCAAACCTCATTCTTATTGACAATCACTCAAGGCCATGGTTCCACAATGTATCTTCAATGGAATGGCTTTCATTCAGATTGAATATGCTTTCCAATTTTGTATTTGCGTTCTCTCTAATTTTGCTTGTAAGCCTTCCTGAAGGATTTATCAATCCAAGTAAGAATAATGATCATAAAAAAGCACTTTTATTTATTTATTTTTTAATTTTTTGTAAGCCATGATATCTGACATTTGGCATTTGTTTCATCCTCTGCAGGTATTGCAGGATTGGCAGTCACTTATGGTCTTAGTCTCAATTCCCAGCTGGCATCTATCATCTGGAACATTTGTAATGCTGAAAATAAAATGATCTCAGTAGAAAGAATTCTGCAATACTCACGGATCCCCAGTGAAGCTCCTTTGTTGATAGAAGAAAACCAACCACGACAAAATTGGCCAGAAACTGGAAATATAAGATTTATAAACTTGCAGGTAATGTCGAATTCAGAGATTTGAGAGGGAACAACTATAGCTTTATTGCACAAATTAATCCCTATTTATAGATCTATACATGATATCAAATAAAGAAACAAAATAAATTATAGAATCAAGCATTATTATCCTAATACAATCCTTTCTAAATCAGCCACCTAAAAATGGAAAGAAATTGGTGATTCATGCAAGCCTACCACGGATCCCATTGGAAATCATCATTTGGGATTAGCAATGGAAACCATCGACTGGGATTTAACACCTCCCCTCAAGCTGGAAAATATAGATCTATCATTCTCAGCTTGATAACCAATCCTAGAAAGGCGGAGTTCTCCTGATGTAGGACTACAATGCTTGAAATAACTTGATAAGAACTTGCACGACTTATCGATTAGAATAATAATAATGATTAGAACTATTAGCACATAAAACGATAAAATAAAACGTAAGAGCGGTCACTTTTGTTTAGGCTAAGTTGCACAATAAGAGTTTTGAATCATCAAAATGATAAAGAAAATCAACGACATGCAAACATAATAGCTTTCAACGAAAATCCCTAATCTAACAATAAAATTAGAAACAAATGAGCTGCACTCAATCCTACGTTTACTAAGTTTTGGGCAACGACGAAACAAAACCTACGTTTACTAGCTTAGGCAAAGGTGAGGCTCGGCTCTTTGTGAATTGTCATCACCTACAAGATTAGAGGATTAGAAAGATAATTTAAAAAGGAAAAAAGTTCACCCTTATCAAAACCCGGAAACAAGTAGTTGAGAGATTAAAGACGTTCATTGTAGCTCCCTTTGAAGGTTCAATTGGAGAGAATAAAATTTCTCTCATGCGTTGAAGTGTTGAAAGCAATGATCCTTGGCTCGCCTTGAAGAATCCCCTTGAGAGAAAGAAGTTTCTCTCAAGAAATCAAGTGGAGGGAAGGATGGGAGGTGGCCGGCCAATGGAATAAACTTGGAGAAGAATTAGGTTCAGAATTTCATGATTAGGTTTAGAGTTTGGAGTGGGAAAATTAGGTGGGAAGGCTGAAATATCTTCCTAAATCAAAGTTCTTTGATTTGGCAAGAATTTGAATAGCCTAAAGGGGGAAGAGAGGGGGCAGGTAAGGCTAGGCTGAATTTGGATTTAATTCCAAAGAAAGAGGTTTAATTTTGGGAAGGGAATTAAGTGCGTGGGCCCTTGGGAATTTCGGCCAAGAGAGAGAGAGCTGGCTAAGTGTCTAGATGCAATGTATTTGGAGTTAAGGCTTTAATTAATCAATCCATCATGATTTGATTGATTGAATTAAATAAGAACCTTTCCCAAAATAGGATTAAGAGAAAAGAAAAGATTTGAAATTTGGATTTAAGGCTTTAATTAATCAATCCATCATGATTTGATTGATTGAATTAAATAAGAACCTTTCCTAAAATAGGATTAAGAGAAAAATGAAAGATTTGAAATCTAAAATTGATTTATTTCAAATTCAAATCCTTTCCAAAAATAAATTTGACTTAAATAAGGAAAGTGGTCAAGGAATTCCAATTAACTTGAAATTCAAATGGAGTTTAATTTAGGAAACTTTCCTAAAGTAAAATTTATAATTTTAGGAAAGATTTTAAATTTCAAATTGAGCGAATTTGAATTCAAATTAAATCTATCCAAAATTATGAGAATCTAGAATAGGAAATAAATCCAAGAGAGGGTAAGGGGCTAGGGGCCGGCGGCTTCCTTGGGGTTTGGGTAAGGGAACCGGCGGCTAGCTGGAGGTGACTTGGGGAGTTGTAGGTGGAAGGATGGTGGGGATGAAGGTGGTCGGCGGCTTGGAGTGAGGTGGGGTTAGGTAGGAGATGAGGAAAAAGGAAAATAGATAACAAAGAAAACCACGAACCGGCCGTCTCCAAGGTTGTTGGGTGATCCAAATTCCCTCTCCTAGGGATCTCGCTCTCTCCAAGCACTCTCAATATCTATCAAGAACTCAAGCAATAGCATAAATTTTTTTTATCATTCAATCATTAACTTTAAAAGAAGAATATGAGGGCTATAAATAGCCCCGTACAAAAAAAAAAAGCAAAAAAAAAAAGATAAAAGACGACTTTGCCCTTAGGGTTTACATACGACTTCCCTTAAGCAATGGGTAAAACGGAAAAAATAATTACAACATAAATAACAAATAACATAATAAAATAAATACATGAAATAACTCAAAACACATCGACTCGATCGTGGCCGTTGATCGACGACCCCTCAGATATTCTTTTCATGCTCTAATGTCCCCATCACTCCACTCCCTTAGAAAGGATGTTTGCAAGCTAATCTTTTGATGAGACGTGGCAGATACATATAAGACCACTGTCTAATTTTTCTTTTATAAAATGTTTGTCTACTTCTATGTGCTTGATCATGTCATATTGAACTGGATTGTGAGCTATGTTGATTGCTGAGTTGTTGTCACAATGTAGCTTTTGCTGGAGTGGGCTACTTCAATTTTAAAAAAATATTTTTGTCTGCCAAGTTCTTTGATATCAAAATTTTTGAAAAGAAATTTCCTTAGAATAACTTTATCCTTTTCATCTTTCCCAATCAAGATAATATCATTCACATAAACTAATAATATTGTGCCTTCCTCGGAGTCTGAGTGTTTGAAGAATAATGTAGGGTCTCCTTAACTCTGTTGATAACTATTAAGAAGCATAAATTTTGAGAATCTTCTAAACCAAGCTCTAGGTGACTATTTTAGCCCATATAGAGCCATTTTTAACCTACATATCTTGTCACCCCCAGATTTTTTCTTAAATCCTAGTGGAACTCCATAAATATCTCTTTCTCTAAGTCCCTATATAGGAATGCATTTTTTACATTCAGCTGTTTCAAATGCCAGTTATAATTAGCTACTAGTGAGAGTAATATCCTAATAGTGCTCATCTTGGCCACAGGTGCAAAGGTTTCCTCGTAATCGATGTCGTATGTCTGAGTGAACCCTATTGCCACCAACTTGCCTTATACTTTTTTAGTGTACCAGCAGTTTTGTATTACAGAGAACAACCATTTGCAATTGCTGGTTTTTCCCCACTAGTAAGTCGACGATCTCCCGAGTATTATTTTTTTTTTCAAGGCCTGCATTTCATCTTTTATGGCATTTTTTCCAATTTTTATTAGATAAGATCTCATAACTATTATTAGAAATATGAATATCATTTAAGGTAACCAAAACGTTTTTGTATGAAAATGAGAAGTTATTGAAGGATATAGAGTTGGTTATGCGGTACAAGGGAGGTTTTTACGGTGAACTTGTTTTTACATCGATTTCAGGAGATGGTTCAGATTCTTGAATATGCTTTGGAGCATAGTTTGGACTTGTACATTTGGAATACACATTCCCAAACCTAATAACATTTTAGTCCTCAGTTTCCCTACCTTTGATCTCAGGTGGAGGTGGAAGGTCAAGAAGGGCCAGCTTATTTTCCTCATCTTCCTCAATTTCAATCTCTCCCTGAAGATGAGGTTTGGTGAAATAGGAATTTTGTTCATCAAAAGTAACATCAACAAATACAAGGTTTTTCTTTATGGGGGGATGATAACACTTGTAACCTTTAGGGGTGGATGAATATTCAAAAAATATGCATTTGAGTGCTCTTGGATCTAATTTTTCTCTATTCTGGTTGTATGTGTTAATATAGGCAGTGCACCAAAAGATTCAGGGTGTAAAGTTATTATGGGTTCGAAACTCAAGGTAAAAGGATGATAAAATATCCATTGGTATTTTTAGTTCCAAGGCTCTTAAAGGCAGTCAGTTTATGAGATATGTGGTAGTTAGGGGGGCTTTCCCCCAAGTAGAATTTGGGTATATTGTGGTGGAATGGGAATGCATGGATGGAGGCTAGGAGGTGACCATTTTTCCTTTCTGCAACGGAAAAAAATTTGTTATGGGATGAGAACGCGGGAAGACTCATGAATGATACATTCGTTTTGAAAGTATGAGGAAAGAGTTTGGTTAAAGTATTCTTTGGCATTGTGAACAAAATTTCTTTATCCCAAATTGGTTCTACATCATGGTGTGAAAAATGGTAAGAATGGTGCTAACATCATATTTATTTTTTAGAAGATAAATCCAAGAGACACAAGTACAACCATTAATGAAGGATACAAATCAATGAGCCCCAGAGATGTAAGGGATTTTTTAGGGTCCCTAGATATCACTATGAATAAGATAGAAGGGAATATCACATCTCTTATTTTTATTTGGGAAGAAAACTCTTTTATGTTTGGCTAACTCACAAATTTCACAAAGAAAATATTCATTTTCTAATTTATAAAAAAAATTTAGATACATGTTTTCTGACATCAAAAGATGGATGTTCTAATCTAAAACGATGAACCCAAATAGTAGATTTTTTATCAACTAGGGATAATATAGAGTAGCTATTTTTAATTCTCTTAGATTTATTCAGCTCTTCCAGGTAGTACAATCTAGCTCTTTCCTTAGCATGTCCAATCTTCTTCGTCGATCCCTAGCCCTGAAATAGATAACAAGTATGGTTAAATAGTACTTAACAATTATGGTCACTAGTAATTTTTTGTATAGAGATTAGGTTTGTGGATAATTCAGGTATGTGGAGCACTTTTTTTAGAGTGAGGGAGAGAGATAAGGGTATGTCTCCTTGTTCTGCAACTGTAGTAAGAGAGCCATTAGTAGTGATGATTTTCTTATCACTTGGGCAAGGAGTATGATTGATAAAGTGGTTAGTGTATTGTGTCATGTGATCGCTAGCTCCCGAGTCAATGATCCATAAACTTTTCCAATGATTTCTAGAGGCACTTAATCCGATGCAGTAGATTCTTCAAGAGATATCAGGAGTTATTTTAGCTTATCAATGTTTTCTTTATTGAGCTCTCTGAAGCTGTGATTGGATGACTTGTTGTAGTGTTGGTTTGTGATGTGTAATTTTGTCCACTTCTATGATTTCATTCTTTATTGGGGGGTTGTTCATGGATCTTCAAACATACCACTTTTATATGTCTTAATTTCTTGCAATAACTGCACCAAAGAGAGTCTGTCTTTAAATTTCGAGGAATCTTTACATTTTTCCTTCCATGGTGCTTCTCTGGTTCCATGGTGCTTCTCTGGTCGTTACCATTGTTGAACCTTTAACAAACTTTTCCAATAATTTCTAGATTACTCATCGGCTTTCTTTAGTGCGAATAAGAGAAATTGCCTCATTTAATGATGGTGTCTCCTCTTTGTTGAGGATTTGGACTCTCAACTTATCAAACTCTGTATTAAGTACTGGAAGAAAATCATATATTCTATCTTTTTCAATAAAATTTTTTAGGATATCAGCATCTTCTGAACATATTGTCTCTATGCATCTTTAGTGATGAAGTTCTTGCCATAGGTTTTGAAGAAGGGTGGCATATTCTGTCACAATCTTGCTTCCTTGTTTTGTGCTTCCCATCTTGATTTTAGTTTTGAAGATTTGGGTAGCATCCCAAGCTTTTGAGAAGTTTTGTCTAGCGGCATCCCATATATCTTTTGCAGTTGAAAAGAACATAAATGTATCATTAATTTCTGTAGTCATGGAATTTCACAATCATGATATAATCATGGAGTCCGCTTCATCCCAATGAAGGCCAATGCTTGTTTGATTAAATAGGAATTTAGTATATCCTATTTGGTTCGGTCAACCCCGCTCCAGGTCACAAGCACGACTCCGTTCAGCTCAGTTGTGTATGTAGGAAGCCTAAGTCTTGCTTAGGTCGACTCCTTCACACAACATGTGCTCACAGCCCGACTCCAGACACATGAATAAGAAGGGACCCTTACAGAACCGCTAGGCCTCTTCTTCCAGATGCATGAACAAGAGCTACTAGCTGTCTTGCGTCCGATTTTGCTCCAGCGACGACGTGAGAGCCGCTCGTCCTTCAATAGTGTTGTTCCGCCCGATTCTTATGCTCGAGAAATTCCATGCTTTCGACCTCCTTTCTAGATTGGCTATTCTGGTGATGCAGACATTCGATTCGCATGTAGAGAAGGTTTGTTGGACTCAGCCCTTTCTGACCGCAGGCAGGAAGTTCGCGCTCGGGAGATCTCGTTTGTCCCATTCAGTCTTTGCTTCGCCACTAGAAGGACCGTACGCAAGGAGGGTTGAAGCTGATGGTTCGACGATCAATCTATACAGCAATGAAGGTCCCCCTCTCTGCTTCCTTCATATCTTCTATTACAAAGGTTTGGCTATTGGGTCAGGTAACCTGATGTAGAGATACATCAGGTACCCAATAAAAAAATGCCACATGCACTTACTTTTTGTTTAAAGCTGAGTGTTTTTTGTTTAAAGTGCATGTGGCATTTTTTTATTGGGTACCTGATGTATTTATACATCAGGTTACCTGACCCAATAAAAATTCGTTGATTTGAAAGACTTGAGATTGAAAAATCATAGCTTTATTGCACAAATTCATCCCCTTTTATATATTTATACAGGATATCAAATAAAGAAACAAAATAAGTTACAAAATCAAACAATATTATCCTAATACAATCCTTCCTAAATCATCCACCTAACAATGGAAAGGAATTGGCGTGATTCATGCAAGCCTCACATGGATCCCCGTGGAAATCATCGACTAGGATTAGCAGAGGAAACCATCGGCTGGGATTAGGGCTGCAAGCAAACTAAACGTTCGACGAGCTACTTGTTGTTCGATTCGATTAAAGCTCGTTTGTGATCGTTTAATTAACTAAACAAACAAACTTGAACAATATTTTAAATACTCGATTCTTAAATAAACAAACTTGAACACTAATGCGTTCGGCTTTGCCCATGAATGTAATATAATGGTGTCGTTTAGCCCAAAACCACTAGATCAGAGGGTCCCGATCATAACCGTTTATATGTAGTGTCATTTGTTGGTAAAACTATTGGTTAGAGGACACGTGCCACGTCCTTACTGGCAAAAGACGGATTGAAAATGAACCTTAGTGATATTTTTTACCAGACATTAGCTCTTTGTGAGCTGAAGTGATTTTTAATTTGTCTATCCCGACAAACTATTGCGGAGGGTGGATAGATATTTTGCTTTAAGTATTTGATGATTTATTTTAATTTTAAATATTTTAAATTTTGATGTTTTGGGATTTTGTATTTTTAAGGGCATTGGAGAATTTGGGAGACATTTTTAAATATTTGTGATCCCCTCCGATTGAAATTTTTTGTCAACTCGGCTATCATTAGGAATTTTATGGACAGTTTCACTTTTGTCGATAGAACTTTGTCGATTCTTCCTACTTGTCGGTAGAGGATCGGGTTTGAATCTAAATTCATTTCTTAACCCGTGCAGCATCCTCAGATGTTGCGTGTGTACCTACGAAACGCTCGTCAGGGCCCATGCGGGTATAGGCTATTACATGCATTTTGCATTATACGATTGTTATACATATGTAGTGGGTTTATGCGATGCATCATCAAGTGTCATGTATATTGGCTTATGTATTTTGCATTTTGTATTTGCAAATGATGCTTAGAGGAATCGAGCATAGAGAAAGGGTTTGAAGTCAGATAGTAGGCAACAGGTTGGAAGTGTGGGAGCTTGAGTTCAGTGCTAGAAGCGGGATCGGGCTTACGGTGTCGATCAGCTTGCGACAAGTTGAGGGGTTCGGGTATTCAAACAAGGCTGACTATGGGGATCGAAGCTAGAGGTGAGGCCGATTATTTGATGGGGTTGTGGATCTAGCACAGGGAGATAGGGATTCAGGATTTTGGTCGAGGTCAAGTCGTGTGTGTCGACATAGTGAAGTTAGGATCGGAGCTTGGATGGCTAGGTCAGACAGAGGCTGCGAAATCGAGATAGGGGTTGGTTTCAGATCTTAGAGGGTCGGAGTTCAAGCCTTAGAGGTAGTTCGAAGGTTGAGCCTCAAAAAATAGATGGAACAGGGAAGGAGAAGAAGAACGAATGATTCCTTTGTTCTTGCTGTAATAATCGCGAGCAGAGGCAGGCAATTGAGGCGGGTCGCGCGAAGAGAACGAGCTGCATGCGGAGTTCGTGCGGTTTGACATGGGAGACTCATCGTCGACATGCGGCATTCGTGCAGAACACGACCTTGGACAAGTACAAGGGATCTCAGCAAGATTTTTTTTTGGCATTCATGTGCATGTCAACATTGCACTAAAATTACCATTACCATTTTTAATGCAAGAAATTTTTATAATAAAAATAGATATCTAAGAAGTAAAACTATACTTCCTGGAGATTAGTTGAAGAATTGGCAAAGCTCTTGTCAACATTTGAATTTTCTTCATTAGGTTTTGCCAAATTTCTGATGGAGAATTTGAAACATGACACATAGAATGGTAGCTAGCAAGCAAATGAACCTAGTTCATAGAGTTAGGAAGTGCGCTCAAAGGGGAATCAAAGTTAAGGCCCGCTCTAATAGTCAAATATTAAGAGCTTAAGCCAATGAGAGTGGGCCAATCTTTATGAATTTTTACATCAATATATTTTTAAACTATTCAATATAGAACTAAATCAATGCTCACATGTCTTAATAACATTTAGATCAACAATCTTCAATATTTTATAATTCTTGAAGAGACAATTGAATGATGTTCAACGTGTGGAAGTTCTTCTATCTTGTGGTAAAACAGTAGGGAATGGTGAAGCATTATAATACAGTTATACATAGTCATATTTCATCTGTGAAGTGCATTTGTCTAGGTCCATTTCTGAACTTAATTTCTCACTAAAATTATTTATTCAATGAAGAACATTATCTTTTGCGTTTCAAGATTTGTGTGAGTCTATAATTTAAACGCATTCACTAAATTCCGTCCTGATGAGGACATCGTCAGCATTTTCGACGCCGGAGATCGACGGCCACGAGCATGACTTGTATTTTGTCATTTTATGTAGTAGCGTATTTTATTTTGATGTTTTTCCGTTTTTACCCTTATGGGCATTTTACGTTTCACATCACGTCCATTCCCAATAGACTGAGCATTACATTTTCAACTTCTTGTGTCAAGGGGAAATGGGCATGGTTAGTTACTATGAAGCAGCTAAAATAGAATACACGTCTAAATCATTGAATATATCCAGTTAACATCACAACTTAAACCTCTACTTCTAGACTTTTACATTAACAGACATGTTTCTTTTGTATATTTTCTCTTTTAATACAGGTTAGATATGCGGAGCACTTGCCATCAGTCTTAAAAGATATCACATGTACAATACCAGGTCGGAAGAAGGTTGGTGTGGTAGGAAGAACAGGAAGTGGGAAATCAACTCTAATCCAGGCACTTTTCCGCATTGTTGAACCCAGAGAAGGCTTCATCTTAATTGATGGTGTGGACATCTGCAAGATAGGTCTTCATGATTTGCGGTCGAGGTTGAGCATCATTCCTCAGGATCCAACATTGTTTGAGGGGACAGTAAGAGGAAACTTTGACCCATTGAGGCAGTACTCGGATCAAAAAATATGGGAGGCAAGTTGGCATTGTAACAGCTCGACATTCAAACAAAATATCACATTCTTAGGCTTCATTTGGGACTGCTTTCTTACAGCTTCTTAAAGCAGTTTTTTGGTATAAAATTTTTAATTTTTTTACTAGAAAGCTGCTTTAAGAAGCAGTAAGAAAGACGTCACAAACCAAGCCTTAATTTGTTAGAAGAAGTTTGGAAATAGTATATATTTATAACTTTTGGTTTGACAATTACCAATTGCAGATTACTACTAACCCAAAACTGCTGTGATGATTCTGCAGGTATTGGACAAGTGTCAGCTTGGTGAAGTGATACGCAGCAACGACAAGAAGATAGATTCAACAGGTAAAGCATACAGTTATAAACAAAGTAGAGCAAATGGTCCAAATTGCTTCAACAATAAACAGGATTTCATCATTGTATGGTTATTGACATGTATATTATTGCAGTTATTGAAAATGGAGAGAATTGGAGTGTTGGGCAGCGACAGTTGTTTTGCCTGGGAAGAGCCTTGCTCAAGAGGAGCAGTATTCTTGTTCTTGATGAAGCAACAGCTTCTGTGGACTCTGCTACAGACGGAATCTTACAAGAGACCATTCGCCAAGAATTCAATGAATGCACTGTAGTTACCATAGCTCATAGAATTCACACTGTCATTGATAGTGATCTCATTTTGGTTCTTAGTGATGGTAAGAGCTTATGCACTTTAAAAAAAGATTAAATTTCCAAACCAAGAATTTAATTGTGAATTACATTCCTGGTCAAACAGGAAGAGTTTTGGAATATGACACACCAGCAAAGCTACTTGAAAGGGAAGACTCGTCATTCTCAAGGCTCATAAAGGAGTATTCAATAAAATCGCAGAGATATAACAGACATTCTACCATTCAAGGTTCAAAGGAAATCCCTTTGGATATCTGAACTCAGCTGATGAATAATGCTCATTAAGGTGAAGAAGACGATGACCATCAACAACATTAATAATAAAGTAACTCCTTTTCAAGAGCATGAAGATTGAATCAATGACGACCATGGATATGAGCATCCAGGTCAAGAACAAATCTTGGTTGAACTGTATTAAACTAAAATACACTGAGAAATGGACCTAAGGGTCAGGAGGTTTCTAATGCATTACTTATTTGGTAGACCATAAGAAATCTTTATTTGAATCTTTATTTGGTTAGCGGCGCTAAAGCCTACAGCAGCATGTACTAGCCAAGAAAAAAGCATTCATAAATTTTAAAACAGAATTAAAAATTTTGTAAACATCCATTTCGCCAGAGGCATGCATACTTCAAATTCTTCATAACCAACTTATATTTTTGCTTCTTCCATTACTATTGCATGCATTGATTTTTCCAACATAATACAATTATGATGGGGACGGATCTCGCTGACCACATCACCTATTCTGAATATGTTGTCTCATTGGTTGATAGTGGGGACCCATTGAAGTGCAGGTTATTCTTTACTGCATTCAAAGAATCGCCTCTTCCGTGGTTCTTGCATCTTCCCCTTGACGTGATCACTTTTAATTTGTTGAAATCAAAAGATGTTTATCACCCAGTTTGCTAATGCGCAAAGGTCTCTTAAGAATTTGCTAGTTCTGTTGCCAATGAGGAAGGATTTGGGTGAGTCATGAGGAGCTTCATCACTTGGTTTTAAAGAAGATGCTTAACGTGATGGATTTAGACCTAGTTGTGGCTAGAGCTACGTTGACACAAGATCTACGAGAATGAACTTTTTGATCTGCACTCGGCTTGCAATAATTGAGAACTTCAGCTAAATTATTGAAAATTTTCAACAATCATGTAAATGCCGAAGAGTATAATACTGGGACTAGTTTAGCAACATTGAGGAGGAAAAAATATAATTAAGCAGCACTGAGGAAGAAGAAGCACCACTTAGGAGAAAAAAATTTGGTAATTTTCTAGGGACCAGAGAGGTTGGCCCAATGATCAAAGGAGTGAAAATAGATTCTATAGCGATCGGAGGAGAAATGGATACTCCCAATGAACTCATTCTATTGAGGGGTGAGTGATAACTAAAGAGCAATGACCTGATCGCCACTAGGAGAGTTCACTACTACATCAAATTTGCCAACTACTGACTGTCTCAAGCTTTTTAAGGCTAAAGAATACTTCAAAAGACTAGTGCTAATGAAGTTTAGAGGGCTCAGAGTACCTTCGTGATCAATCAAAATACTGTGTGTGCCACCGAGATAACGATCATGATATCGAGGAGTGCCGACAACTAAGGACTATGGTGGACCAAATAAAGGTTGACAAGCTAAAAGAATGCCATTTATGATGCAAGGAGGAGTTCACAGAAGGCACAATGGAAGAAGCTCAGAATGAATCAGTCTTGACATAAGGAAAAAAAAGGGATTCATATTGAGGGAGTGGTTCTAGCTATGCATAAAGGACCACGAGAAATGGTATCTTGTCTGGCTAGCCTTAAATGATTTCACTTTGAATAGGTGAACTCTACATACATCTAGAGCATATATTACTAAAGTGTCACCTACATGTGGAATCGGGTTGTACTGTTGAATTAGATCTCGATTATGTCAATCGAGCTTGTCGAGGGGTTGCAAGGGGGCAGCGCTCCCCCTGCTTAGGGTTTTGAGGCCTTAGAATTTTTTTTAGTACAAGCATTACAGTAACATTGTCGTTGCAATGTCCCAAGTCTTGGATGAGAAAAGTGGAGGGTTGCATTAGGTCCCGACAGCAAGCGTAAAACTTGTCGAATAATCATGACATGAATTCTTTAAAAAAATGTGTTAATTCTAGGGCACCCCTAGAAGCGACGCGCTGTATGGCCTGAATTCAGTGACAAGTGTGCAAGGGCTGCTGCACCGACGCCCGGATGCAGTGTTAAATAGGCAAGGATTCTCACATCAAGTACGGATGAGGGCAAAGAAGCTAGTCCATGAAACTAAAATTAGGATAGAAACTTGGAATATAGGCTCCCTTACAAGAAAATTAATGGAATTAATAGATATAATGATTCATAGGAAGATAAATATTATGTGCATTCAGGAAACTAAATGGGTTGGAGAGAAAGCTAAGGAGATTAATAGTTTATGATATAAACTTTAATATTCGGGAAGGAGTCGTATTAGAAATGTTGTAGGTGTGATTATAGATAAGAGTTTGAAAAATAATATTATACAAATTAATAGAATTAGAGATAGAATTATAGTTCTAAAGATCGTTGTTAATGTTAAGATTGTTAATATTATAAGAGTTTATGCTCCTCAAGTATGTTTGAATATGAGTTCAAAATTAAAATTTTGGAATGACTTGGAAGAATTAATATAAAAGATACATCTTGAAAAAAAGAGTTTTTTATTGGAGGAAATTTAAATGGACATGTTGGTAGAGAGATATATGATTTTAAAAGTATCAATGGTGGCCATGAGTTTGAAACGACAAATGAAGGTGGTAAGACTATATTAGATTTTTCTTTAGCTTATATTTTCTTAATAGATAATATCTTATTTAAGAAGAGAGATGAATATCTTATCACTTATAAAAATGGATATAGTAAAACACAGATTGATTATTTTCTTATAAGAAAACTAAATCGTTTAGATTACAATGATTGTAAAATTATTCAGAGTGAAATTTATGTAACCAAAATTGTTTATTAGTTTTGGACTTTAAGATGAAGGGGCAAAAAATAAAAAATAAAAATAAAGTAAAACAATTTTATAGAATTAGATGGGGGAATTTAAAGAATATTAATAAAAGAATTTTTGAGAGAAAGATTTTAGATCTTAAGATTTTGTCTGTGCATGAGGATGCCAGTATTATATGGGAAAAAGTGTCTTGCGACATTAAGATTATTGCAAAAGATGTGCTTGAAGTTTTGAAGGGAAAAACTCATAATAGTAAAAATTGTTGGTGGTGGAATCAAAATGTGCAAAAAAAGATAAAAAATAAGAAGATTTGTTATAAAAATTAATTTATATGTAAAAATTTTGATAATTGGGAAAGCTATAAGGAGGCTAGTGAGGAATCTAAGAAAGTTATTTGCGATGCAAAAAACTTAGCTTTTAATGATTTATATAATATATTAAATACTAAGAAGGGAGAAAGATATATGTATAAGTTAGCCAAACAAAGATATAGGAGTAGTAAGGATTTAATTCAAGTGAAGTGTTTTAAGGATGAAGATAAAAAAGTACTTTTATTAGAAAATGATATTCAACAAAGGTGGATGAGGTATTTTCACTATTTTGTTAAACTTTTCAATGAAGAATGTGAAAATACGATTGACTTTAGTGACTTTATCACCCTAAATAAAAATAAAAATTTTGGTTTTTATCGGCGTATAAGTAAAACCGAAGTTAGAGAGGCTTTGAAGAAAATGAAGTGTGGAAAAGTTGTTGGACCTGATGATATTCCAATAGAGATGTGGAAATGCTTAGGAGATGAAGGAATTTCTTGACTTACTAAACTTTTGAATACTGTTTTGAAGACTAAAAAGATGCCAGATTAGTGGAGAATGAGTGTGTTAATTCCTATTTTTAAGAATAAAGGTGATGCGCATGAGTGTGCGAATTATAGAAGAATTAAGTTAATGTGTCATACTTTAAAACTATGGGAGCGAGTTATGAAGCATAGGTTGCGGCGTGATACCAATATTTCTCAAAATCAGTTTGGATTCATGCCGGGTAGGTCGACTATGGAAGCCATACATTTATTGAGAGGTTTGATGGAGAAATATAGAGAAAATAAAGAGGATCTACATATGATATTTATTGATTTAGAAAAAGCATATGTAAAGTTCCAAGAGAAGTGCTATGGAGAGTTCTTGAAAAGAAAGGAGTTAATAATGCTTATATTCAAATCATTAAAGATATGTATGCAAGAGCTATTACTTGGGTTCAAACACAAGGTGGATTACATCAAGAATTTCCTATTCGGTGGATTAACATCAAGGATCATCCTAAGTCCATATCTTTTTTGCTTTAGTCATGGATGTTCTCACTAGACATTTGCAAGAGGATGTACCTTGGTGTATGCTTTTTGTAGATGATATTCTGCTTGTTGATAAAGACTAGAATGGAGTTGAAGGTAAACTAGATTATGGAGGTCAACTTTAGAGTTTAGGTTTTTGCTTGAGTGGATCTAAAATTGAAATATAGGAGTGTAATTAGTAAGCAATAGATCTAGTGAAGGGATTTGACTTTGGGCGATCAAGTCATTTAATAAGAGTACACATTGATATCTGATCTATTTGTTAGAGTGAGTGTGTGAAATGAGGGATATTATCAGCAGAATTCAAGTTGGATGGTGAAGTGAAGGAATGCATCGAGCTTATTGTTGTGATAGAAAAGCCCCCCTCAAACTTAAGGGAAAATTCTATAAGATGGTGGTAAGACCTGCAATGCTTTATGGTGCCGAATGTTGACCATTAAAAGAGAAGCATAATATTAAGTTAAGTGTTGCAGAGATGAGGATGCTTAGGTGGATGAGTGGCTTGAACCTTAAAGATAGGACACGAAATGAGCATATACGTGAAAATGTTGGAGTAGCTCCAGTGGGAGATAAGATTAGAGAGAGTCGTCTTAGATGGCCTAATTAGGAAAGTTGAGGTATTATATTTGATTTATGTTAAGAAAGGTAGAGGTAGACCTAAAAAGACTTGGTTAAAAAATATTAAAAACGATCTTTCTTTATTAGGTTTAAATGAAAATTTGACTTTTAACTGGACAAAATTGCGAAAAAAGATTCATGTAGCCGACCCCACATAGTGGAACAAAGGCTTGATGTTGTTGTTGTTGTTGTAGTACAAGCATTGCAGTGCTCTAGGTTTGGGCTAAAGACAGATAGTGGAATGTTGTTGCGCTCCAACCTCAATGTCGCGACTCTGTTGGCTGCAGCGCGGCCCAGTAGACTCAAACACAGAGAGTTAAGCGCCGCGACACTCTAATTAAGCAGTTTTTATTCTCTCATTTTTTTCATTTCACTTGAAGGGTTGCTTCTTTAGGTGCATTGAAAAGCATGTCATTGTCTATTTTTAGTGTAGAACAAAGAAAAAAGTGAAGTGAGATAAATAGAGAGTGAGAGAGAAAGAGTGAATATCATATTCAATAGTGTCTATGAGAAGATGAATTTAGGCGCTTCTCACCTATTGCTACTTTTGAGCCTCGCTTTTCTGAGGAACAAAGAGAAACATGAGTGATTGCATTGCTGATCACTAGGGAAAGGTGAACGAAAATTCACCGTGATGGATGGCTTCATAATATTCAACCCACTAATTGCATACAACACCATCTTTGGTTGACCACTACTTAACACTTATAGGGCAGTCGTCTATGC